ATCCCACTCACCTGTGGTGGATCCCACTCACCTGCCCAGATCCCACCCACTTGCCCGGATCCCTACCTGTGCCCCACTAACCTGCCTGGATCCCTGCCTGCACCCCTCTCATCTACTTGAACCCAGCTCACTTGTCTTGATCCCTGCTTGTGTTGAGCTCACCTACCTGGATCCCTGCTCACCTGCCTGGATCCCACCCACCTTCTGGGATCCTACCCACCTGTCCCGATCCCACTCACCTGTCCACATCCCTGCTCACCTGCCCGCATCCCTGCTCACCTGCCCAGCTTCTCCAGCAGCTTGTACAGGTCCTCCACGTTGCCTGAACTCGCGCTGGCTGCCAGAACCTCACCCCCCACATCATCCCCAGGCTCAGCCACATCCTGTGGGGCAGCACCAGGACCCGGCTCAGCCCCTGCCCAGGGCAAGGTGATGTGCCAGACCCCATCCGCTGGAGCACCAGAACCCCCCAGCACACCCAGGGGTGTGGGGACCCCCATTTTCTGGAGCATCAGAACCCCCCAGCACACCCAGGATTGCGGGGACCCCCCTTTCCTGGAGCAGCAGAACCCCCCAGCACACCCAGGAGTGTGGGGACCCCCATTTTCTGGAGCATCAGAACCTCCCAGCACACCCAGGGGTGCAGGGACCCCCATTTTCTGGAGCATCTGAACCCCACAGCACACCCGGAGGTGCAGGGACCCCCATTTTCTGGAGCACCAGACCCCCCAGCACACCCAAGGGTGCAGAGACCCCCATCCCCACGACCCCCCACACACCCAGGGGTGCAAGACCCCCCATGCCATGGAGCATCAGAACCTCCCAGCACACCCAGGGGTGCAGGGACCCCCATTTTCTGGAGCATCAGAACCTCCCAGCACATCCAGGAGTGTGGGGATCCCCATATTCTAGAGAACCAGAACCCCCCAGCACACCCAGGAGTGTGGGGACCCCCATCCCACGACCCCCCAGCACACCCGAGGGGGGATTCTCCAGTGCCCAGCTGAGCTTAGGCCTTGCCCGGTTCTGCCAGTTCACACTAAATTCTTCAGTGGAAACTTGGAGGCTTTGACCCCTCTTTCAGGACCTGCAGAAGCCGCTCAGGGGGTTTGGAATTGGGGCAGGGGCAAGAAGGGAGAGGGTCACAGCGGCCCCTCAATGTGCTAGGGGTGCAAAATGCAGAGAAACCCCAACATGTGGGGTTTTTTTAAGGGGATTAACAGCCGGTGAAAGCACCACTGTGAGCTCATCTGTGAAAGCCCAGCCCCCTGGCAGTGCCCCCGCACACACCCACGGCCACGGCTCACCTGGGGGCTATCAGGGGCGCCCCTCGGCCCCCCCTGCGCCAGGACCCCCACCCAGCTGCCCTCAGCCATCCCTGCAAAGACAAGAAAGCCCAGGGTGAGGGGGKTTTTGTGGGCAACAGCGGTGGCTTCTGTGAGAAGCGGCCACGAGCCTCCCCCGTGGCCAGGAGAGACGATAACGCAGCTCCAGGATGGAGCCGGCACTGGCCAAGGACAAAAACAGCCGGGACGGGGGCAGCACCGCGGGATAAGAGAGTTAAGAAGGGAACAAAGTGATTGTGAAGAATTTGCTGTGGAAAGAGAGGAGAAGGGAAGGGAAAAGGAAAGGGGAAAGGGAAAAGGGAAAAGGGAAAGGAAGGGGAAAGGGAAGGGGAAAGGGAAAAGGGAAAAGGGAAGGGAAAAAAAGGGAAGGGAAAAAAAAGGAAGGGAAAAAAGGGAAGGGAAAAAAAAAGGAAGGGAAAAAAAAGGAAGAGAAGAGAAAGAGAAGAGAAGAGAAAGAGAAGAGAAGAGAAGAGAAGAGAAGAGAAGAGAAGAGAAGAGAAAGAGAAGAGAAGAGAAGAGAAGAGAAGAGAAGAGAAGAGAAGAGAAAAAGAAAGAGAAAAAGAAAGAGAAACGTGTGAGAGCAACAGCTCTGCAGACATCAAGGTCAGGGAGGAAGGAGGGGCTCGAGGGGCTCTGGAGATTCCCCCGCAGCCCGTGGGGGTCCCCGGGGAGCAGAGAACCCCCCCTTCAGCCCTGCTGGAGCCGCCGGCTGAACAGGGGATGCCCGAAATGGGCTCTGAGCCCCCGAAAGCCACCGCTGGAGCAGTTCCCGAGGCGCCGGGAGCGGTTGGGGCAGAGCCGCAGCCCGTGGGAAGGATTCCTGCCGGAGAATTCCCTGGAGAATTGTCCTCCGGGGCAGGCAGGGACCCCGGGGCGGAGCGGGGCAAGGACTCGAGCTCCTTTCCCGTCCCCCTGAGCCGCTGGAGGGAGGAGGGAGAGCCCGGGAAGGAGGAAGGGATGGAGGGGAAGATATTTCTCAGGTTTGTTTTACTTTTCATTATCCTGCTCTGATTGGATTAGTAATAAACGCGATTAATTTGGCCAAGCGGAGTCTGTTTGGCCGGTGACATTAATGGGCGAGTGACCCCTCCCTGCCCTTACCCCACCCACGAGTCTTTTGTTCTGTTTTGTTTTGTTCAGGAGTCTTTTTGTGCCCTGTCCAGGTGGGGAGGGCAGYGACAGAGTGGCACCCGSTGRGGACAGGGGYTTKGGGGGAAAACCCGAGGTGGCTCCAAACACAAACCGACCCTTCTCGGCTCACTCAGAGCGGGCCAACGCCAGGACCCAACCCCCCCGTGCCTCAGTTTCMCCTCAGTGCAATGGGGTGATGCTCCAACGCGGTGGCAGCGGGACCAGCGGCCGTGCAGGGATCCTGTCCCCCCCACAGTGACCCTAAGGGACACTCAGTTGTCCCCAAGTCCAATTCCCCCTCAGCCTCTCCCCCTTCCAGCCCRGCTGTGCCCCTCTTACCCTCCCCGAGCCTTCCTCCACATCCAGCAGCGCTTCTCCCTCTGTCCGTGGTCAGTCACTGCCCACTCTGACCATCCTCCGGCCCCTCCCCGGGTCGGTGGGAGCTCCCCGGGTTTGGGGGGCACCCGGCCAGGCACTGCTGGCCCCTGGCACGGCACGGAGCTCGCCAGTCCCGGGTACGTGCACGGRGGCGGCTGCAGCTGAAGCCGGGCCAGCATCCCCGGCCATGTGACGTGTCCGTGGGGGGACAGTGAGTCTGTTTGTCCCCCTGGGGGGGGAATGGACACGAGCAGCTGATTCWGCCATGCCTTAGCACGCACCCCCTTGCGCTGCGCTGCTTTTRCAGGGAGGGAAACTGAGGCACGGGTGGCTCCAGGCACTGCTGGGTCGGACCCGCTGGGGCCGGGGTGGGACACAGTGTCCTGTCCCACCGT